CTACAGCACAAAGTGATCAGTCACTGAAGATAAGATTTATGATGAACAAGCTGACTTTCTGAAACCTACCCACCTGCAGAAGATGGCTGCAGCGTGTTAGCATCTTGTGATGCGATCATGTTTCTGCTGCTTCAAATAACTTCATTTCTGGACATTTATGGTTTGATTTCTTTGTATGTATGGATCACTTGGGTTGTTACCAACATCTGGTGAAAATTTCATGTCATTAGCACCTCTAGTAATATATTTACTGAGAAAAATGATGACGTGTTCAATACTTATTTTACCCGCTGTATATATTTATATAACATCCACATTTCCACAAAGAGACCTTTTATTTGACGTAATATAGTTTAGGTGGCTCACTCACACAAGCAAATACTTTCCAACAACGGAAAACCTACCATCCGCCACACAAACTAGAGAGGTTGTTGTCTGATGGCCTGACACTTACACAAACACACAAGACATTTTTTCATGTTACCTGATGCTGCTCATGCTGCCTGCATCTGATCCCAGCTTGCATCTCTCCAGCTGGGTGGCAACAATCTGACGCTCAGCCTCAAGTTCTCGAGTCAGACGTTCAAACTGAAGCTCCTGAAACAGAGTGGAAAAAGAATAAGAAGGAGTGGGGATTTTTTTTTTCCTGAACAAAAGCAGGTATATTCACCGTGAAAGTAAGTTTAACAAAGAAATGAGCATAATGTTCAATAAATATACTGCAAACTATAATATGCAGTGGTGGGCAGCACTAATCTAAAAATCTGTTCCGCTAGCCCTAAAACACGAACTCAAATATTTAGGTCCCCTAATTCTAAAGCTCTAACACATTCAAAATTTTRGCAAAATCTAATTCTAAAGCACTAAAATAACCCAGTCAACCCATGAATGTTCAACAGACAACATGAGTCACATGTTGCTCTCTTAATTCTTATCCCTGACATTCCACAGCTGTATTTGGGTTCATATATTGTCACCTAGTGGATAAGTGACACACATATGTACAAAATGTGTGACAGCTTTAACCATCAGCTGTTAACATGAACGTTGATCAATAACATTTATGGACCTCAGTTAGTGCTTCTAAATTTCACCTATAAAKTTTGCAAGTTCTAATCCACTAATAAATTTTAAAATTAACAAAAGCCCTAAAGCACTAATCGGGAAATTAGTTCCCCTATTTGTGCTTTAGAGCTTTGACCACCAGTGACCACCACTGATAATGTGACAAGAACAGAAAAATAAAAAAAATAAATGAATAAACATACTGATGAGCTGTCTTCAGTGC